TGATAAAATGCTTAAGCATTTTTCTGATAAGTTTTAAGTGAAATTAAGAATCTGGAGAGCTAATTACTCACCCACCTCAATTGTCAGCTAGTGGTCATTTATGAATCTAATTAATGATTATATATATTTTTTCTTAAGTACTTTTTTCTTTTTTAAGTAGGTTAAACTTTTATATTCTTATCTTAATATATGAACATTCTCATCTTTTCCACATCTTTGCCAAGACTTGTATTTTTTTAAAAAAGATTTTATTTATTTATTTGAGAGAGAGAATGAAATAGAGAGAGCATGAGAGGGGGTAGGGTCAGAGGGAGAAGCAGACTCCCTGCTCAGCAGGGAGCCCTATGCAGGACTCGATCCCTGGACTCCAGGATCATGACCTGAGCCGAAGGCAGTCGCTTAACCAACTGAGCCACCCAGGTACCCCTTGCCAAGACTTGTATTGTCATAATTCTTTATCCTTGCCAGTCATGTAAAAAGGCATATCATTTTTAAATATTTAAATCAATTATTTCACTGATTTTTAGTGTGACTACACATCTTTTCTTATGTTATAGGCCATTTGAGTTTCCTGTTCAGTGAATTTTCTGTTCACATTCTTTGCCCAGCTTTGTCTTGGGTTGTTTGTCTCTTCCTTGTTGACTTAGGAGATTTTTGTGTTAATTATACATATTTCAAATACCTTCTCACACCTTGTGCTTATCTTTTAACTTTGTTATAGTGCATTTTGCAATACAGAAATTTAAACGTTTATGTCGTCAAAAATATTTATTTTTTTCATGATTTCTGCTTATATATCTTAAGAAATTCTTATCCTGAGGTCATAGACAACTTTTCATATTTTCTTCTAATTATAAGATTTCATTGATCACATGTAGGCCCTTAATCCACCCAGAGTTAGTTATCTAAATAGTGTCTTCGTTATTCTTGAAAGAAAGAGAGAGAGAGAAATGTTGGCCAGAAATCAGAATATTAGCTAACCTTTACTGAGAAGTCACAATGGCAGCCACTGTTCTGAGAACTATGTATTAACTTATTCAATCCTCAGACAGCTCTATGAGGTAGGAACAGATATTATAGCCATTGTATTGATAAAGAAACTGAAGTTCAGAGCCAAAGGCTTCAGAACTGGAAAGTGTCAGAGCCACATTTTAAACCCAGGAAGCCTGGCTCTAGAGCCATGCTTACCTACTCTGGTAGGTGGAGGAGTCAAGATAAGTAGGTTATGCTGCTGTAATACCAAAACCTTAGTTATTTGTTTTTTTGGCGGGGGTGGGTGTTTGGCATGTTGCGTTGTTTCTTTTTTTTCTTTAATTTTGTTAATATTTTTATTTTATTATGTTATGTTAATCACACCAAAACCTTAGTTTTTAACAAAACAAAAGATTGTTTCTTCTTCATGGGAAGTGTGTAGTGGGTCTGGGTGGCTCTCCAGAGCACCAGTCCTCTGTGTGGTGGCTCAGAATTCTGTGCCCATGTGCTGGCAACTTAATATCAACATTTGCTTCTATAGTCACTATGGTAGGTGAAGAGAGGGAAAACAGAGAATCACATAGTTGTTAAGCTTCTGCCTGGAGGGACATGTATCCTTTCTCATATTTCATTGGATGAAGCAAGTCACATGGCCAAGCCTTACTTCAAGAGGCAGGGAAACGTAACCTTCTTATGTGCCCAGAGTAGAGAGGAACCAGGAACATCCATGACAGCTGTGATATCACCATGTCATGTGCTCACGTTCTACTGCTGCCACTGACTAGCCATGTGACTTTCAACAGGTCCCTTTGCTTCTAATTTTAATATCTGGACAATGACAGGATTCACTTATTTATTCAGTTGGTACCCATTATTTATTGAGAGTCCAGGTATGCCAGGCACCCTGTGACCCTGCAAATGCAATGATAAACAGGGTGTAACTTCTGCCCCCAAGCAGGTGGCAATTTAATAGCTACCTTACTGTTGATTTTCAGTTCTAAAATTCCAAGGCTCTGTTAAAAGGCGATCACAACAACAAACCTTCCAGAGCATTACATTCTAGAGACTCAGGCATTTTCTTAGGAGTTTATTCCTTTTTGGTGTACATGAACTTGGCTGCAGTGTTAACTCATTTCCAGCAACAGATACACACATGTACACCACTTTCAAATTGCTGGTGTACGTGCATACTGGCATATGTGGGGAAAATAAAGCAGACTTTGGACTACTCTCACAGCTATTTTGAATTTAGTGGGCAGAACACTTCATAAAAAAACAGAAGAAAATCAATTTGATTGAGAAATACCTGGGCAGATAACTTTGCTACATAATGGACATTCCAGATATCAGAGAGGTTTTTTTATTACTTATGAATAAAATTACAAAACGAAAGATTTCAAAACCATTTTGATTTGCAGTTAATTTTTCCCTAGAGGAATATTTATTGATACAAAATAGAAGAAATATGAAGTATATTTGTGAGCATGCACAAAACTGGTTTGCCAATTAAAAAAAAAATCTCTCAGGACTTGAAGCAGCCTTCCAAGTGTTAATTTACTAGTTGCCTGTAGTTAAAATACAGTTCACATGAAAAATTTATAAGAATTTGAGGCATTGTCTTTAACCATGATGCAACAGTTTAAAATTTGAATGAAATATGCAAAAAAATCCATTCTACTTTACATTGATGCAATTATGGCATTTTCTTTATTCTTAATACTGCAAGTCTAATTCTTAAACCAAAGCCAAAAAATAGTGATGCAATAGTTGGATGCATCTTCAGACCATTCTAAATAAATTTCTGCTTAATCACACCCATTTGTCATCCTTCTTACAATCCTTTCTTTCTTTTTTTTTAAATTTTATTTTATTATGTTATGTTAGTCACCATACAATACATCATTAGTTTTTGATGTGGTGATCCACGATCCATTGTTTTCATATAACACCCAGTGCTCCATGCAGTATGTGCCTTCCTTAATACCCATCACTGGGCTAACCCAATCCTTTCACACTTAAGAGGTATTGAGTTGTTTCACGATATAATTATTAATTTGCTGCTTGTCTGTACTTTGAATTTATTTAATATTGGTACGCTTGTTCCCCTTCTAATAGTAAAACAGGGGATAGTAAAAATAGTAAAAATAGTAAAACATGATCATTACTCTCAGAACCTCTGGTTTGCCCAGTAAGCATCCAACAATTATTACTGGGCTTTCTTGAAGGCAAAATAAAAATAATCAGAATCTTTGAGTATGGGAAGAGCTTAGAGAAGCTGGTTATATTTACTAAGGAGAGATCAATAACCATTCTCTATTCTCATTATACATATTATCCCTGAGTGATCCGATCTATTGCCATGACATCAAGTGCTACCTTATGACTTCTAAATCCATGTCTCCAATAATGGCCTTCTTCCTGAGGTCCACACAGGCATTTCAGCCACCATCACCACCTGGTTATCTACACAGATAACTCAGACTCAAAATACATAAACAAGAATGCTTTATCTTCTTCCTCCACCTCAGCTCCCTTTGTGGTCTCTTTTTCAGAAGGGTGCCATCATCCACTCAGTCATATGATGCACCTGGAGTTATCCTTGATTCTTCCATTTTCTTTATCAAGAACCAAGTCCTGTGGGTTCTACTTCTTTAATAGCTCTTGAATCCATCCTCTCCCTACAACTTCCAACTTCAGTTCAGACCTTCATTTCCTACCTGATTCTAGTAATACTTCCTAAGTAGCCTTCCTATCCCCAGCCAGGTTTACTTGAATTGTTTTCTCCATACCCAGGCCTATGACTTTTCTCATGCAAATCTGATCATGTCAGTGTAGATACACTTCCAGTTTCACTCTATTTGGTGAATGGGTGCAGTTCCATATTCTGGTCCTTTCCCAGTCTGCTGTCTGCTCAGGAGGTCTCAATTATGTCCTGAGAGTGTTGCCCCTATTTCCACACCCCTAAAATGCTGTGTTTCAAGTCATACTTGCCCGTCTCAATAGAGCTCTTTCTCACCCTGACCATGCTCCCTCTCTTCTGCCCACCTTATTTTCATTTTTTTACTTTGTGGCAATTGCAGAGGTCAAAGGGATGAAGGGAAGTATGGAAGGAAGAAATGAAAGGCACCAAGGAACTGGAGCCCAATTTCCTGATGCTTTTTCCCTTTCAACCTAGAGTCCATGGTCTGCTTTTCTAAAACGTTTTCTATTACACACCATGTGTGTAGTTTTTGTGTGTCTCTGAGTGGGCTGTTATGTCAATCCGTGAGCCTCAAACAACACTGTTGAGAATTTGGTTAAGCTACTCCACATAGTATTATTGCCTCGGCATCCATTTTGTTTGGCCAGGTGGGCTGCAGAGGCCTTAAACTGACACTAATCCCCTCGTGCACACTCATGCCCTAGATAGCACCCTGCAGAGTCACAAGCAAACACACACTCCTGATATGACACCTCTAATAGCTTTTGTGATCAACAGTTTCCTCTCCTTCTGAGGGCCTTCTCCTGGTGTGCCCTTTAGATAGATTCTGGCAAGGCTTACAGAAAACTGCTCTTCTTGGTTTGAATTGACCGATCTGGCCTTAGCCTGGGAACTTCCCAAAGCCCTCCACCCACAGCTGCAATAAAGGCATATATCCCAGGTCCAGCCTTTCTCTCTGCCTGCACCTTGCTTTGACCTCCCCCTGTAGCCCCTAGAGGTGTGCTGTGTACTTCCTCCAGGACCTGTGAGTAATAAATTTCTCTTGGGGTGTTTTGTTGAACCGGGACTCACCATCTGGCACCCTGTGTTCCATTTAACAAATATTAATTTAATAGTCATAACAGGCAATAATCCTATCTACCAATATTACTCTGTCTTTTCAATGATTACCACAGGAAAATCATTAATTAATCAATGTTTTTTGATAATGATGAAAGAAGGTAAAGGAAGAAAGAAAAAAACTGAACTGTTAAGAAAAAGGCAAACTGTTTCAAGACAATCTTGAATATTGGTTTAAAATAACATGTCCAAGGAAAGAAACACTTACTTTCTGCTGTGGAAACGTGGACTCCATCATGGCTGTTTCAAAGCTGTGAGCACCCTCTGCCTGGGTCTTATCCCACAGAGCTCTGAGAAATTGTACAGAATGACTTTGTATGGATAGGGGCTCAGGAAACAGGCTCTGAAAGGGCAATAATGAGAAAACCATAACATTATCTCTTGTCCTAACAATATTGTTTGATCAACTACAAGGCACTATTTGGGTTGAAATTCAACCAGGTTTAAATTTAAATAAAACAACAAAGAAATCTATCTTGAAGATCAAACATATGATACATTTTAGGCTTCTCATTTTTTTAATGGAAAAGTAAAATTATGGAATAGGATTTCAAGCCAGTTGATATTGATCTCTAAATATGCCTAACCTTTGTAATGTAATGTTTACCTCGATCATTTCCCAAGCATGGTACTTAATTGGAAAATGGTTAATATATTCATATTTATTTTTTCAAAGATCTGGGAATTATGGTATAAAATTAAAACTAGAGTATAAATATCAAGTCTGTTTATACAGAGTAGATGATGAAGGCTAGAAATTAAATAACTAAGAGTACACTATTCAACAACTCAAATATTAAAAGTGTGAATGGATGGTGGGGAAACAAAAACACTTTTAATCCTAAAATGTATAAGAGGTGACTATTCCCAGAGCTAATATTCTAGTTTTGGATAAAAAGATTATTCATGTAAAGAAAATCACATTTACATGTATTTCATTCAAGTCAACGACAATAAAATTTTCAAAGGAAGATTTAAATTGTGTTTGTATATTTATTAATCCATCATGGGTTTAATAGTCTTTTAAATATTGTGGCATGATATCTATAAAGTGAGAAGTATTTTAATTCAAGGGAACAATTTTATAAAAACATAGACCATAATATAGGGCATCAAATATTATTTACATACATATAATACCATACATATTATCCTTTATGTGTGAGGTATGATAAAATAATAATATTGGCTTACAAAATTTTATTTTTTGTGTCAATGACTGTCCAAGCATTAGTTTATGAGAATTTAGGTGGTCTGTGTGTATAAAGTATCTATTTAGTAAATGAAAACTAATAACTTTTTTCCAGAAAAATCTAATTATTATCATCATCAAGATAAACTTGTTTCTTATGCTGAGTGGGGAAATGTGGAGGATCTTATACCTCAAGTAAGTGGTCCATAGATTAAAAAAGACAAGAGCCAGTAACAGATAGATTGATTATACCACGCATAATGTGGACATATCTGGGAATTTCTTGATTATTATCAGAAACTTATACAGCATATGATTTTTCACTTAAAGAAGAACAGGACCGGATTTAACTAATCACCATTCCAAAGAGGACCAGTTAGACTGGAATCTGCGAATTTGAGAATTCCATGAGTGTGTTGACGGTTAACTTTGTGTTAACTTTATGTTACTTGAATTCCATGAATGTGTTAACTTTGCTTTCTTAAAGCAAAGAGTCTGACCCAGCATACAAGGCTAGTACTGGGTTTGTAATGATCAAGTCAAAGAGTTGATTTTTCTTGACCCCAAAGTCAGGATTCACCCAGACTACATAATATCAAGGGTGTAGAAAAAGAAAGGAAACATAGTAAAATGAACAAAGAAGAAAAGCATCATAAACAGATGCTTTTGGGTGATTTTGCTTAAAGAGAAAAACAAAGAATCAGACTAAGTCAATAAAATATGACTGAAGGGACAACAATAAATCAAATTTTTTGGTTTATTTTCAGAAAACTGACAAGAAAAGAACAAAGCCAATGAGGAAACCAAATACAAACTCACTGATGGAAACTATTTGAAAAACAAGTAAAGTAGAAGAAAAATAAGGTCACTTCAAGAAAAGGAAAAAAAAATCAATGCTAGTTTTTATACTCACAATTTGATTCACATCAAAATGTGAGTTGTTCTTTATGAGATATTATTAAGTGTTCTTAAAAAGACTTCCTATAGGAAAAGATGGTTTTCCTAAGGTACATCTAAGCGGTCTCTTTTCTTAATTACTATAGTTCCATTTTATGATTATGATCTATTCAGCATTAAAATGCATCCTTTCTTAATAAGCTTACCTTTTCTTTATAAAGAATGTAATTGGTTGGTAGGGCTTTTATAGAAATATTTCATTAATAGAAACAAACTATACTATCACTTGGCCTAATTTTTACCTATTTTATAACATTCATAATCTGTTTTTTCTGCCTCAGCCCTCTCTACTTCTTTCTGAAACACCCCATTTCATCTTTTAACACATGTGCTACTAGGAAAAGACCACTGAATCAGGGGGCAGGTGGTCTGTATTCTTCCTTTAATTTACTTATCTGTAAAAATGATGTCTGATATTCCTTCTATTACTAACATTTTATAATCTATATTCAACTTTTATGTGAAAGTTTAATGCATTCAAGATAAGTATTTCCAAATATTCAAGACTCTCTGCCGATGTTAAAATCTTTGCATCAAGTTGTTCATTAGGTTGAAAGTTCCTCTTTATGTAACTTTACCCATATACATAAATTCTATGGGAAAAAATGACATTCCAGTATTTTAATGATGTCAAAAAGGATATGTTGACACTAAAATTAATTGGAGAGTGGAAGGCTGTAGAGAAATAAAGACAAGCCCTGCATAAGGAAAGCTATTCCTCCAAATAAGCTGTTTTTGTTGTCATTTAACAAAAAATGTTTTCTTTTTTTCTTTAAGAGAAGCACATTCTCTTCTTTTTTTTAAAAGCTAAGGACATTCAAGATACTACTAGGTTTGGCCTCCTTAATACTAATCCAAGGTCTTCCATAAAGAAACTACCCTAAAATATAGAAAACCCATGTTAAAAATTATTAGTGAAATGTGTATGCATTGCTGTTATTTACATAGGAACTCTAATCAAAGAATTCAGTAAAAGTGATTATAAACTCATAACCCACCAACTCACTAAGGAGCCATGACGAACATGCATATACATACCTGCTGAAAAAGGAACATGATCTGGATCCACGGCTGAGGTTCTTGGCTGATGAGAATAAAACTGGATTTACTGTAGAGGCAGTAATGACCCTTCAGGGAGCAGGTAAAGAACAACTTTGCTACACAACTTCTAACAGAATCTAGAAATGAATATACATAGCATTACACATAGATTCTTCCAGAGTTGTACTTTATACTTCAACATAGAAACACCTTTGGAAATACGTTCTTCAGTTTCAGTCTGCAAATGAATAACTCCAAACAACTGTGTGTTGGGGAGTGGATACATTTCATGGAATGTAGATTTAACTAAAGATTTCTTCAACAAATTATACTCTTTCTATCCATCTTTCCCTTGTTTTCATTAATAATGCATTAGGAATCTCCAAGGAACTCACCTGGAAGAAAGAAAACCTCTCACCAACAGAAAGGGAGATGCAGTGTTATTACTATCTGACTGGGCACTTTGAAATGATAATGTGGGAAGGATAAGCAAATGCATAGAGGAAACCCAGGCATCTTCTGGGCAGTGGATAGTATGCCATGAACCAGTAACATTGTTCTCTTGGTTGTGCAGTGGCCACAAAGACAGCCTCCAGAATAACTAACTTTACCAGTGGTGTGAATTCCTGTGAACTGGCCTGGTGTGGTTTGAAAAGTTTATCTTGTATATTGAAGAGGTTCAAAGCAGGGAAACTTAATGAGATCATTTTTTTAGGGATAAGAAAGTGGGGGAGGGTGGTGGTGGTGGCATGGAGCAAAAGTGATAAGAAGCCGTAAGTAGGAGGAGCCATTTAATTTTTACACCCTACAAGATGGGTGTTATTATTTCTATCTTAAAAATGAGGAAACTTACCGCATTAGTGGGTCATCTTAGCGAACCACTATGAATGCCTTGTTCACCACCATGACTTTGGCATGTGGCATATACAAGAGATGCTCAAGAGAGCATCTGGACAAATGAATGATGCTCAGGGATCTAGAAAAACTCCTTAAGTCTATACAATCTGTGGCAGAGCCAGGATTTGAACTCAGCTGAGCTGATGCCACATTAAGATGCTTTAGGCTCTACCATACTGGGAATTTTTAGATCTGTCATATTGATAATGCATGGGGTAGTTATTCTTTCAGAACTAAGCTGATATTTTAATTAAAAAAAGAATTAAGCTGATAATTTAAATGAAATATTTTGAAAATTAATAGATTTTAGTATGGGCTACTTTTAAAAATGGAAATGTGGGTTACAGATTATTAATAAAGTTGATAGGGACCCTAATAAGGTAGCAGTCAGTCCCCACCTAAGAGAGTGCCCTGGGTTCCCTAGAGAATTGGGGAGGCCTATCTGTGCACTATAGGGACTCAGGTGTGAAGGAATAACAGGCTTTTCAGGAAGAGCTTAGAAAAATTAAGGAAGAGTGACCAATGACACATTAGAGGAGAATGCATTGAAAATAAAATAAAGCCACCCGTCAGTTTAGAAATACATACAGAAATCTTAACAATTAACAACTATCTGTGATTCTGAAACACTGGTTTAGAAGAGGATGTTTTTGTGAAGTTAATTGTTTTGGGGAATTAAAAAAAATGGGGTTGAGCATTCAGTATCCTTGTATAAAATCAGAAATCATTTCTGTATTCTGTGGGTGAATGGATTATGAGATGTAAAGAATGACTGAAAGTTCAGTGCAAAAGACCAGGAGGTCCTGCATTGAGAAAGAAAGATCTCAATGTATAGAATTGAGCACAATATTGGCTTAAAATTGCCCTATCAGAAATTATTTGAAATGGTAACTAAAAATCCTTTTTTGGTACAGATGTTCTGGAAAATTGGATTTAAATTAACCAATACTAGAGAAACAGGAAATCAAGTATTTCATAATGGCACACACACAAAAATGGTATTTGAAATAAAGCTAGATGTGATGTATACTCTGAGACAGGAGTATGTTTTCCTTTAATAGAAGGGTTCAAAAGAAAACAAGTTCTTTTCTAACAAGCTATGCAGTAGCTTGACAGTCACAAGTTGGACTTCAGGCCTCTGCCATGAAAAAAGTTTTTGTCTTTGTCTGTTCCTTAAATATTCTCAGTACTCATTCATGTTTTCTTTTGCAAATGAACATTGATTAGATTTATTTTACTCACCCTGAGTCTACCAGTTTTCTATACACAATCCACAGAGGTCCCAGATCACACAAAATGGGCAAAGCAGTAGAAGACAGAGGCCTTTAACTTAGAAGCATATATGCTAGCTATAAAAATAAACCAGTTCTGTGATATCTTCTGTTAATGCTTTCCATAACCTGATCTGTAGCAATATTTTTTCCTCATTTTTTTCAGAGCTTTCCTAACTTGGAAAATTTTCCCCACAACATTAACATTTAATTGCTGATTTTTCTCTGCAATTTTCTTCCTCATGTTCACTCTGTGGTATTGAGTGGTAGGCATGCATAAATGGTTTTTGGATGAATGAATGAATGAATGTCAAACACTATGTGGAGAGCAAGAAGGGCCAGGATGTTGACCCTGCTCTTAAGAAGCTTACAGAAAAATTGGAGAGACATCTATAAACAAAACATAAATTGTTTTAAGTCCATGGGATAATGGAGGGACACACAATTCTGACTGCTCAGAGAAATGAGCAGCTATTTTAATTGGGGAACAAGGAAAATCTTCGTGGAAGAGGAAATATTTGAGGTCACTTTGAAAGATAAGCACGATCTTGAACTGAAAAAGTTGGGAGGAGAAAAGCATTTTAAGTTATGGAATATCCAGAAAAAAAAACATATAAGGCATGAAGTTTAAGGTAATTCCAGGTAGTAAGGTAAGTGTATCTGGGTCATTATGATATTTTTTGCTTATACAACTGATGTCCAAAGGGTTATTTATTTTTATAGAGTAAATGTTGAAGGTCATGCTTTGCTAAATATAGAATGCTTTGCCTATTCCACCAAATCTGATTATTTCTTTCTTTTGGTAGATAACAGCCTATCTTTGTAAAAATCAAAGGATTTGTTGTGGTCTTTATAAACATTGAAGTTAACATGAACATCAATAATTGTATAATATAATTATATTATAAATTGAAATATCCAAAATGTATATATCACACACATGGGTAGATTTAAAGGTGTGATACAAAATACAAGAATAGGTTGCAGTTCAAGATGGCAACATAAGAAGGCCCTGAACTCACTGATAAGCAATATGCTTGATAAAGAATTTAAAGTAATGATCTCAAAAATACTCACTGGGCCAGAGAAAAGAGTGGGAGAACTCAAGTGAGACCTTCAATAAAGAGATAGAGAATATTAAAAAGAACCAATCAGAATGGATGAATACAATAACTGAAACAAAAAACACACTAGAGGGAATCAACAGTAGATTAGAAGATGCAGAAGAATGTATCAGCAATCTGGAAGATGGGAATAGCACACAAGCTGAATGGCAAAAAGTGAAAAGGATTTTTAGAAATGAGGATTAAGGGATCTCTTGGACAATGTCAAACCAACAAACATTCACACTGTAGGGGGTCCCTGAAGAAGAACTGAGACAGAGGTGTAGGAAACTTATGTCAAGAAATAATAACTGAGGGGAAAAGATGGCAGAAGAGTAGGGGAACCTATTCTAACCGGTCCCCGGAATTGAGCCAGATATCTACCAGACCACTCTGAACACCCACAAAATCAGCCTGAGATGTAAGAAGATAGATCTGGATCTCTACAAACAGAATATCACAGGCGGTTGGTTTCGAGGTATGAAGCGGGGAGCCGTGATTCCTTGGGCAGATATCAGAGGATAAATGGCAGGGGGAGGGAGCTGTGGTGATCCTGCACCACCGGTGAGTGATAGCCTCCCGCACTGGGGATGGGGCACAGACTCGCAGACCGGTAGCTAGCAATGGGGAAAGGGCTTTAGGGCAGCCCCTGGACTGAAACCCGGAGTGGTGGGGTTGGGCTTGCAAACTGGGGATGGCCGGCGGTTTTAGAAGCACAAAGGGCAGAGACATGCCCCCATGCCTGGACCTGGAGATGAGGACTGGGAGCCCTGCTGAAGGGTGCACAACCCAGGATGCTGCAGTTTATAGATAGAAACGGAGATAGTGTGACCTGGAGAGCTCACTGAAGAACAGACTGTGATCTCTCTGCTCTGAGGCAGAGGGTTGGAAATGATCTCTTCTGCTCTGACTCTCCGAAGAGATGCAGAAATCCGCCAGGGAAAGCCACCAGAGAACAAAAGCCCCCCAAAACCGGTTTTCACTGAGCCCATCCCCCCCCACAGAGGGCAGGGCAACTCAGCCCAAATAGGGTTGCCTGAGTAACAGTGCAGCAGGCCCCTCCCCCAGAAGACAGGCTGGGAGAACAAGAGGCCAGGAACCCTAAGTTCCCTATAAAAAAAGGTGCACCTTGCTTGGGTTGTGGTCAATAATTTGGACTCTGTACATTCCCGCAACCACCCCTCAACAGAGTGACTAGGAGGAGGAACCCCCAAAATAGGAAAGACTCAGAGACCGTGACTTCTGCCACAGATTTACAAATGGACACAGATATAACCAAGAAGTCAGAGATGAAATTCAGGGTAGCAATTCTCAAGACAATAGCTAGAATGGAGAACTCAATTAATGACAACATAAAGTCTCTAAGGGCAGAAATGAAAGCTGAATTGGCAGAATTTAAAAATGCTATCAATGAGATCCAATCTAATCTAGATAATCTAACAGCTGGGCTAAGCCAGGCAGAAGAATGCATTAGTGATCTAGAAGGCCAATTAATAGACAAGAAGGAAAAAGAGGAGGCCAGGGAAAAACAACTCAAAATCCATGAAAGTAGAATCAGAGAAATAAGTGACATCGTGAAATGATCCAATGTCAGAATTATTGGGATCCCTGAGGGGGTGGTGAGAGAGAGAGAGAGGACTAGAAGATATATTTGAGCAAATCATAGCAGAGAACTTCCCTAATCTGGGGAATGAAACAAACATTCGTGTCCTAGAGGCAGAGAGGACCCCTCCCAAGATCAAGGAAAACAGGCCAACGCCCAGGCATGTAATAGTAAAACTCGCAATTCTTAGAACCAAGGAAACCATCTTAAGGGCAGTTAGCGGGAAGAGATTCCTTACATACAGAGGGAGGAACATTAGAATG